TCAAACTAAAATAGTAACAACAGTAATCCTGTTACAGATTCAATGCCTTTAAAGATGCCTTTTTCTTCAGTACATTTTCTGCCCTGAGCAAGATCTATGGGATTACACTAAGGTATATTTAAAAAGTGTTGAGTTCCCAAATCAACTGCACCAGGTAAAAATCCCATTATAAAAACACCGTTTTCTGTCCAGTGTTCCTGCCTTTCTCCACCCACATGCCAAACCACTTACATTCCCTCTCACAAGCTTTTTTTTCCCAGCCTTTACAGCAGAATTTCCTGCCTTCTGCTCTCTCAGCAACGCCGCTATTGCTCCAAACATCTTGTGTGAAAATGCCATACCCTTAATACTAACTACTGAGGTAGATTTGTAAAGCAGAAGTAAAATTCCTCTATTTTCTGTGCTAATTCTTGCAAATGGATCTTTCAGATGAAGAGATTACCACTTGGTAAAGTTCTCACACCACTACTTCCTCTCCTGCAAGCCTTTCTCCAAATTTAACACCTGTGGGCCTATCCAGGTTAAGGATACAATCCCACTGACATGCAGCTTGCTGGCCTCTACGCTGGTCTCCTTCCTTCTCAGGGTCCGTTTGGCACCAAATTATTCAGCGTGTAGGTGCTGTGATCAATGTAACGCAGGTCTCATGGCTGTTTTGCAAGCCTCTGTTCAAGGACTGTCCCTCATCTGCTCTCTCCAGCTCCAAAAGCACCACTGTTTGGTCCCAGAGGTCTTAGGTCACCCCAAATGGCAGCAGCAGCTTCGCCTCAGCGCTTGGCAATTGCCAGGCTTCTCAATGCTCCCCTAGTCCAGGCTTTTTTGCTGACAGGTCAGTGCTAGAAGCACTTACAGGGCTCTCATTCAGGCTGCTGTGGATGGGTCTTCCCAAACTCATCTTTGCTCTTCCAGACTGCCTAGGACTGGCAAACTCTCATCAACTAGAGCAAAGAGTGTCTCTTTTCATCCCTGTCATGACTCCTCGTGGGTCATGTAAGGCACACGTGGCTTACAAATGCTACCACATTTATAAATAAATTGCCTGCAAATCACTGGTGGCCCTGGTAGGTGGTTCACAGCTGATATGTTGATATGTAGCATCGCATTAGAGAATGAAACACACAATATTTTCATTTGGAAGCACCCAGTACTGAATACCCCTATGCTAGAGCTTGATCTCTCAGAACTGATATATTTTGTGAGATGTAGCCCCAGGACTCCAAAAATGGGGATAGTAGAGAAGGGCTGGATAACACCACAAAAGCTCTGTGACATGGATAATGAGTTGCGTTTCCTTCTAAAGGCTCTCACGCAATCCAGCTGACCTTGGGATGTACGGGCTTCAGGGAACTGTTACGTAAACGAGTATGGCAAACATCAAAGAGAACAGAATTAGACAGACAGACCACACAGACCCAAGTGAATTTGAACATTTGCTTTCATAGCACTATTTACATTTTTTTCTCTCCAGAACAAAAGGAGTCAGTAGGCATCTGTCCATATTACAAGACAAACTGCAGAGCAGCTCAAATCCCCGTATCATTTGTTTTGGTAATTTTCATACATTTGCTTTTTGAACATGTCTTATTGGAGGAGCCATGAAAGGATAAATGGTAATGTGGAGAAGCTAGCAGAGAAGGAAGGAGAGATGATAGCAGGCACAAAGAAAAGGGAGGGAAGCTAAATGCAGGCTTTCTCCACTGCATCCCTTCACTTCGGAATAACACCGCCTACTTCTGAGAAGCATCCTTGAGACCTTTCACAGTAATTCTTGAGCACATCATCAGATTTACTGTTTAACTGAAAGACTCATGAAACTATTTCAAGGGACTGACTCTCAGTTACTTATTTTCTGCCTCTGAATAGGGCTAAAAGCAGATTTTAAATCTCATGTTTTGCACAGTCTGGCCTGCCCAGCAGATAGTGCTGGTCAAGATTACAGAACATTTTCCTTGCTGAAAGCCAAATAGATGTTTGAAACACATTTGGTGGAACATATATAAACATGCACCTCAGTGTCTTTCTCAAAACAATAGCCAAAAAAATCCCCCAAACCCAACAGCCCAGAGCTGGTGGTGAAACATGAAATGAAATCCTAGCCCATATCTGGTCCCCATGCCACAGGTCCCAAATACCTGCCATGACCCATCTTCCAGGACATGCTAGCAGACACTCAGGCTACAAATTAGTAAACTAAACATGGGAACTCTCCTCTGGCACAGGAGGCAGCCTTCCTACTAAACTCTGTTACCCTCCAAAACAGGACAGTCATATTCTGCCTGTTGGGAATGGTACCTTGCCTATGCTAACTCCCAAAGTGTGAGTTACTTGCAGCAGTGCTAGGTGGTCTGGGCCAAAACTGTCCCAAGGACTGTCCTAACAATTTGTCACTCTGGGCAATCGAGTTCTGCTGCCCAGAGCACTTTCTAGTGTTAATTTACTAGCATAGATGCACACAGTTTCTCTTGGCCTCTGGCTACAGATCCAGAAATACCCTCATGTTCCTAGATTCAGATTCATGAGGTGGGACTCAGGCATGCAACAGGTCTTCCTCAAGACCTCGGTATTAGAGGAAAGAAAATGGATAAAATACAGGTAGCAAATACTAGGTAGCAAAGGACAGTCTTTGTGAAGTGGACTCCAGCCCTCTGGCACTCACACTGCAGCTCCCAACATGGAGTGCAGAGCCCCAAAAGTAGCTCTTTACCAAGGGGAGGGTTTCCAGCAAACTGGTCCCCATATTCCTAGGGACTGGTTTATTCTCAGGTAAAGGTCCTTTTACAGGACCATATAGGTGTATTAGAGATTCAGGTCATAAGTTGCCTAGGTAAAAAAGTATTCAAAGGTCAGCTATAACTGTCTGACGTGGACAAGTATGTTCAGGAGCATGAGGGGAGATGTCCTGAAAGCAAAAATGATACTGTCAGCCTTCAATCAAAATAACGGATAAACGAGGTTTGCCATGGTTTCACAGAGACATATTTACGTGACAAACTTTATAGTCTAGGAAAAACTACCAGCATACTTGGAGAAAAGGCTTTCTGTAATGTTTTTATCTATTCTCTTGGCATAGGCCTGCCCCATTTCCCTTAAAATCTATAGGGGCCTCATTTCAGACATTCGTTGGAGCTGGACTGAAAAGTGTGGCTCTAATTTTCCCACTTCCAGGGCATAGTGATGACTCTGCCCTCTCTGACTATTCATCCAGCTTAACAATTGCCTGCGTATGCAGTTTTTTCTGTTCCTCCCAGCCTGCAGCAATTGTCTGTATGACCTATGAAATACTGCTTTTCATTTCTTATCAACAGCACAGCATCATGAGGGCTCTGCTAATCCCTGGGCCCTTGGTCAGAGTCCTGACAATGAACACTGCAACCAGGCCTGACTGTCCACTTTCCAAACGCACTTGGGCATGCGCGCTGTCATACCACAACCGTTAATTTGCCTGACGATCGCCCTGGCCAAAGGACAGGATGCAGGTGACTGAGAGAAGTTCAATGAAGTTGACTGTTGAGACTTAGGGATCTTAAACGCTCATGTCAGAATTTCACACTCAGTCTCATTTTTCATTTGTCAAGGAACAATGGTTTGTTAGGAATGATGTTGCAACCAGATGATGGCTTTCTTCCGTTTTCAAAGGTGAAAATGACCTGTAATTAAGTCACATCTGTTTTGCAAAGATGTAAACCACATGAGAATGGGATAAAGAAAGTGATCAAAAATACATTAAAATATGCAGACACTGGTAGAAATTACAGCGTATTAGAGTATTTTTTTGTTACAGCGAGTAGAAGAAAGCAGCCTAATACAGGGTATATCAGACTCCCTCAGTTTTCTTGTAAGCTTTCACTTTCTCAGTGCTCCAATAGCTACTAGCTTAGGGCCCAAATACCCCCAAAACATCTAATTTAAAAAATATTAAAACAATCCCAAAAATCATATTCCTAATGAGTCAAATACTTAACCATGTGCTCAAATGCAACTGATTTAACAAAACGTAAACATATTAATGAGTCCTTGGATGGGGTGGGCTAGGATCCTCTTCAAGCATCATTCAAACACTTCTGCTGGCCTGAATTAGACCAGAAAGCCAGATGTCAGGATTTCTGCAAAGGCATCTTAACCTTGTTAATCTCAACAGGAGTTTAGCCATTCATTTCAATGGGGCAGCATTTCCTTTACAGGGAATCTGATTCTTCCCTGGGCAACTCTGGAGTGAAGCTGATACACAACTCCAATAGCAACTCCCATATAAAATGCTGCAATACAGGGCAGGATTGAGTGCCAAGTTTCCATTCCTGACCTCTAACACGATATTGACTTAAAATACTGGTCAAGGTCCCAGCCCCTCCCTACAACTGTCCATTAATCTGTAAAATCAAGTCCAGTATTACTTGCTATTTCCCAAGGAAGCAGAAACTCTTTTTTGATTAACATATGCAGAAGCACATTGAGTTTCTTAGATAAAAACACTTTGAGTTTCTTAGATAAAATACACTGAAAAAATATGGTCTAAGCCATTATTTTTAAATTACAAGCTAGGCTGAAAGTGGAAAGAACAAAGAGGAACGGATTAATTGCTACGTTCATTTAATAAAATTCATAAATGGATAAATGCTTGTAGTTATTTAACTTGGCAACAGTTACAGCACTCTACAGTAGCAAACCAAACAGACTGACAAGAGGCCAGAGAAAATCCTTGCAACAAAGACATAAGTAGTAGACAAGTTTTAAATTCTTGTTCAGGCTGCTTTTGTCCTAGAATTGCAGATATATTTATATATAATATTCCAATCTGCTCTTAACAATTCTGAATTACTCAAATAGCTACATAGAAGAGAAATGAAAGTAGACTAGGGGTGAGACTGCATCTTGTGGTGCTGTTAAGAAATAAGAACTTTCAATGAAATCAAAGAAAAATCTGCTCTTTGAGTTGCATTTAGTCAGCTGGACTTTTTAATAAGATGGTCAATCATTTTTTCTTCTTCTTCCTTAATGTAAAGGTTAACAACAGAATATCCTGGACACTACGGAGAAGATATGGAAATGATGATGTATACTTATGACCACTACATCCGTGGGGCAACCACAACTTTCTCTGCTGTGGACAGGTTTGCTTTTTAGCTCTGTTTTACTAGAGATTTTTTTAAAAGGCTCTCCCTTCCCTATTTACTGCAAGTAGTGTATGGCTACAAGTCATCAGCTGCCGGTAGGCTAGTACTTCTGCGGACCAAAGCCCACAATGCACATGGCTAATTGTCCAGGGTAGCGTACCAGGAAAAGGAGACCTTCATGCACCGCGGGATCATCTGCCATGTCTACCTGAGTATGAAAAATACAGTCGTGGTAGGCTTGGCTAAACTTGAGCTCCACAAAACATAACAGAGCTTCAGTTTTGCTTCTCACCTACCTTCTGTTACAGTATCCTTTCTCTAAGTTCGCTAAGGTTTCCCTGAGACAAAAGATTACCCAAAATAAGGAGGCCTCTCCAGAAATGATAACACACTGTAAGACTGCTACAGATCAAAAATTGTTAACTTTCTGACTAAAACTCATTAGCCTGTTTATTACCAACTGGAAGTTACATGTACAGATTATTCCTTCAAGTGGAAGAATAGCTTTCACACTTGGTTGACTCAAAGGTATCTCCCCTCCCTGTAGATAAAGAAGACACAAGGCTGCAAGGTATTTCCCTATACTGGGATTTTCTCTTATACATTCCTCAGTGCTGCTGTTACCCCCGGTTCCTCATGGCCCTTGCAGGGAGCAGGAGAGATAACGCAGACAGTGAGCTCTCTGCAGCTGGATTCCAGCCATCATCTGATATGGATCAGAGTAATGTCAGGAATCACACAGATGAGTCCAGAAAACAGAGCAGTTTAGGCAACCAATGCCTCTGAATAGACGCCCGTCTGTAACTGCCGAAGGCTTAACGTACCTTTCAGAATGGGGGTGACAGTGTGGGACTGGCCAAGAGCAGAGAGAGCATTACAGGAACGTCAGGAGCACAAGTCCTCAGAGGTTACGGGATTCACAGTATTTGGAAAGGGCAACAGCCACCAGCATCTCTGTTCTACTGCTGCTATGACACTGGAGATGAACCTGCAATAGTAGCAGGTGAAAACTATGGAGAAAACATTTTATGAACGCAGCTGGGGAAACTTATCTGAACTAATGAACTTGCTGGACTGCAGCTTCCAGAATAATTAAGACCAGTTTGTTCTGTCCTAGCACACCAAATGAAAAGATTTCCTGTGATGACAGTCTGTAATTCAGACTCATGCAGTAACTTTCAGGAAGAACATGCATGCAAAAGTAGACAAAAGTTTCTCTTCCTAAATGGTTCTTCACAGCTGGCTGAGGCAGAAGAGGAGCAAGAAAAGCTATTCCCAGTCCCAGCCTGCCTGAAGCACACACATGTGCAGCTTGTCTGTGTACACACGCCATAGATTTTGAGCTTGCTTTTCATTTTCAAACACATTAAACGCATGTCCCTACTATTTACCCTATGACAGGCAATTTTCTTGGGCTAACATGAAGCACAAAAAAAGTCTCTGAATCTATTTCAGTGTAAGCTCTCCTAATCACTTCAAGTAATTGGATATCATCAGACTTTTTGAATTAGCTTGCAGAAATCATATCTTCCCCTCCTGCTTCCTAAGTCACCACATCATTGGGGTCACTGCTGATGTGTAGATACTTGAGGGAGCACCTCTGGTGGATGCTCTAGAAAGCTAAGAAAGATAGGAGATGAATTTCCTTGCCTGTGTATTGGGAATGAATGAATGAGTTGTTGTTCATCATCAGAGACCTAATGGGCTCATCTGTGGAGAACAGGTTTTATAAGTGGTTAACAGTCATATTTTTAGGCCCCATTTTAAATAGGTCAAAAAGGAGAAAGCAAATGTCTGTAAAGCAAGACAAAGGCAGCTTGTAAGAACTGGCAGAGGCTTGGAGAATCTCTGGGAGCACATCTGGGAGCCTGGTGGTAATGTTGACACAGACAGGATGAGCTACAGACATAATTAAGGCAACATTTGTAAGGGGAGGTAATATCTTTTATTAGACAGACTGAGATAATCAAGTTTCAGAGATTTTTGCAGGTGGACATGGGATATGTGAAGTAGCTTGAAAACAATGGAAACTGCTCACACAGACTTACATATTGTAAGCCCTTTGCAAAATAAGAATAGCTTCAGCCTGAGCTCTGAAACCTGCCAAGTGGTGCTAGCATGGGCTCCCTTGCAGAGCCTTGATATGAGGCTGTGGTCTGGCTGGATGGCTGTCCTGTGTTCAGCTCTTTCTGAGCACCACTGAACGTTCACAGCCCAAGCCATGGTGAACAGCTTGGACAGAAAGATGAGGACTACCAGATGTGCTTGGTATGTGCCTCAGCTTGCCTTTCACGGGGTAGTATAAAAATAGCACGTGCAGATTGCCCTAACCCTTTCTTTTTTAAAACTGTTTTCTGTTCCATCTGTATTTGGGTGATCTGAATAGCCAATAATTTCTTAGTTGCTAGATAATCACTGAAAGATACATCAGCCCTCGGACACCCCAGCAGTAAGTGCATTTGAAACGCCTAGACAGCTGGATACCTACAGGCTGAGCTGAGCTAAATTGTCAGGTATTTTAAGTTCCTAATTTGTTTCATGCAACCACTGAAAGAGGATTTTGTCCTCTTTTGTCAATATCAGCAGGGATTCATAAAGGGTCTTTCAGAGAGTAAAAGCGGCAATCCAGTGCCGACTCACCAAGCCAAGGAAAACGCATGACATCAGTAACTTTGCGGGGAGGGGAGGTCTATAAACTGATGCTAAGGGTCTGCAAAGACAGACCCTTTTATAGACTACATATGCAGAACCTTCATATATACAACATAGTAATTTCCATACGGTAATTCCTGAAGGAATCTGCACCCCCTGGGGCAAACTTCAATGGATCTAAACCTTGAAATAGACTGATAGCTATGGAATAAGCACACAACATCAATGATGCAGAGTAATTCCCTGCATCCTGAAAAGTTGTAGGTATATACTTAACTTCAAACATGAGTAATACAAAAGAAAACAAATTAAAACATTAAATGCATAAATCTATGGGCCATCATTCATGTGCATATATGCTTAAGTGTCTGAAAATCCAAGCTTAAATTAAAACTTCAGAGATAATTGTTTTAGTATTTTAGAGCATGTCATTATTTCATTTAAATAGAATACATTTATTTTAAACAACCTGAGTTTTAACTTGACGATATGCTTTTCCAGAAAAATGACTGAGCTTTTGAGATGAAAGTCTGATAACAGGTGCTAGTTTAGTAGACTGTAATCTTGACCAGCAAAACCCTGTTAATCCACATAAGTCATCTTTTTTCTCTGTACGGGTATCTGAGCAACCAAAAGAGTAATCAATACCTTTCAAGAGCATGCACATAGCCCAAATGAGGACTTCCTAAAATACATCTAAAAGTGGATTTTTCATTTCATTAACCTTTGTTAACAGTTTCATGAGGAAATGATTAAAACCCTCTAGGAAAGCCTAAAGAAAAAAAGGACAAAAAAGAAAAATAAAAACTTTATAGTCAACCTCAGACTTGCTGAGCAGTAGGAGACAGACTCCGTTCCAAACAACACTCAGCATTAACTTCTGAATGAGCAGAGCAAAATTTCAATGAAAAAAATAAGCTGAAAATGAAAGCTGAAATGAGAGGCTTTCTACCTATGGAGAGCTTAAGGGTCAAATTATTCTCATTCCAGGGTAAACAGAGTCACGCAGGCAATGAAACCATAGAAGAAAGCAGGTGATACCAAAACCTCAGGTAGAAATATGTCCCTGTCCTTAGGTAAGACTGACAGTCAGTCCTGTGCCCATCTCTGCACTGCTCGGGGCTGGCCAGCACAAAGCGAGGACTTGGGCGGAAGTCTCGAAGACAGAGCTCCTGCCGAGCCCCTCCTGCAGCACTGCCCACCCCATGCCTCAGGCTTAAGAGTTCGCTATCAGCAGAATCCAAACTTTCAGAAGCCTTTTGGAGAACTACCCGTTACCACTTTAAACGATTGCTGCCATCTGCAAGTACTGTACTCTAGATCTAATTGCTAGGGTTACCCAGGACCTAAAAGCCTAAACTGAGCAGTCGCATTATGTATGCTCTGCTCCGCAGCATGATAGTACTAGCTCCTCTGAACCATGCCTTTCTGTCAGGGAAAATCTAACGTACAATAACCTACAGCAGAAATTTTCAGGGTATTAGGTATTGGGCACTAAATCACTGGCCTGCACTGTTGCATCCTGCTGCTCCAAGCACATTTCTTTTTACTAAAGATTATTAGTCGGTATCATACTGCTCTCCTGAGAGAGAATTAAAATATCCAATTAGTCGCAAACCAGGAAAAGCATAAACTCTCCTTACATGAGTAAAAGTTACTCTGCCTCACATATGACTGGTGGAGATCAAGGATCTCCACTAGTGGAGATCATAGGTCACTAGCTAGAAGACCTATCAGTGAAGGAGGAGGAAAAAAAAAAAACCCAGGAATGATTTTGCCATGTGCCTAGCTTCCCACTTCGAAATGGCTTGAAGCTCACCCCTGCGTCTCACTTTGTACATATTTCTGAGCAATACATCACATGACAATAACTTTGACTAGAACTATCCTTTCCCTCTTGGTTCCCTTTCTGTTTATAGCTGAATCATGATTGATCACCACCAAGAGTCAGTGTCTTCTGACACTGAGACATCAGAGACCTCATTACTCAGAGAGGTGACCTGCTTATCTTGTTGGGGAGTAGGTGGGAATCACAACTTGCAGACATACTTAATCTCCTTCTGTCACACAAAAAACACAAAGCGCTCAGAGGAAAGCCAGGCTAATGGCAGACAGATGTCTTTCTTACTGTAATAGCTGGTTTACAGTCGTTCTTCTTTGTATAGTCTTATCCTTTGCGGCTGCCCTTCCTCGTCTCATTAACATCTATGTCTTGTCTCTCTTCCCATACAGGGACCGTCAGTGGAAATTCATTGTCTGCAGGATGACAGAGTATGACTGCCCATTTCAAAATGCTTAAAAAGATTGAGTACCTCAAGCTCAGAAAGCCTGGGGAGGGTTAGGGTGGGGTGAGGGTAGATGATTATGGGAGAAGGCCACTTAAGCTCACCAAAAAAAATACCCAGACTCATCGGCTGTTTGTTGAAGATATAATTCTTTGCCTCTGGAGCTATTACAAAAATTGCCATCCCACATGCTTGCAACAGCAATTTTGGAGGATTCCCTCAAGCTGCACTGGCAGTTGCATCCCCCAACTAAAACTGCTTATAACATACACATGTTTATGACACACAAGTTTATATGTGCAGTTACCTTTTTTTATAAAGATATCTAGCCATTCTGACCACATACAACTTCTTTCACATAGCACCTTTCCATAAATTGCTTCCCAGAGCAAAGTCACTGCAAACGAGGAGAAAATATAATATAACCTTTGCAACACGCGATAGTCTTTTCTGTCCTCTGCTTTTACTTAGAACCCAGTGATCTCTATCAGCTTCTCAGCATTTAGGAGCTGAAAGCGTGCTGAAAGTGGTATCAGTAGGTCTCTGACACATTGCCTTTGGGGTTACCTGTTACAGCTCTCAGTACAGCTGCACTGCTACAAATGCCTGTCTACACAGGGGAATTGTAGCTAGGTATAGTAAGGGAAGATGTCAGTACCTGATTAAAATGTGAGTAGATCCATCAAAAAAAAGAGAAGCCAACTTTACTGAGATCTCAAGTATCTTTTATATTGCCCTAAAAGTTTTCAATGCCATAACTACCCCAAGAACACTGAACTGGTCGAACCCAAGGGCGAGCCAGGCCGTGCTTGCTCTCAGTAAATATGTATGCTCTACTTGTCAGAAGTCTACTTTTCAGGTGCATTGGGCTATCGCCATAGGTGTCTGAGTGACAACATCTTGCCTTGACAACATATTTTTGGCTCAGATCAGACAAATAAAACGAATGACTTCAGATCACCTTAGTTCCTCCAACTTGCAGATCTCATTCCCCAGATCTGACCAGGTTTCAAGTCTGCACAGCACTTGTGCAGCTGTAATCCAATAAGGAAGACCTCTGATCTTCTGGGAGGATCTGAGGTGGGGTTTTTACTCTTGAAGAAGCCAGAATTCAGGGCTCAGCTCCTTACCTTGAAAAGTCAATGACAAACTTACAGTGGCTTCAGTGGCACCTGTTCAAGGGCCATGATGAACCCATGTACCGATTTCAGATTCTAAGCTTCACAGGAAACAGTGGTGTCAGCCTGTTGGTTTCCAAGTCCCGAGCATTTTTCATATATTTGCTAGCATACCCTCAAGTGTGAGCATTAAAACTACACTTGTCCAATAAATGAATAATAGGTTTTGCACTGCTGTAGCCTTGTTCTTTCTTGATTATACTTCTTCTACAGTGACTCATTAATTTGCACACAAAGAAACCCTCAGTCATTCTCAGAGACCATGAGGGTAATTAGGGAATTTCTATGAGAGCCAGTTGCTGAGACAAGTTAAGTAGCAGCGGGAAGGAGAAGAAGTTAAGAGGCCCAGGGAAGGAGCAGAAGCTTTCTAGCTGACATTGACAGACAGGCAAAGAAAGCCAAGAGAGCTCCAAACAGGACAGCCCCAGAGCAGAAGGCACTCACCCCAGAGGGATTTGATGGAAAAGGATAGGTACTATAATTAAGTATGTAGGGATCATCTCTGTGGGAACACCTGCCCTAGATGGACAACTAAACATTATAGAGAAGTACATCCTTCTCCCCACACCATCTACATCTTGATTACTTAGGCTTCTCTCGATCGTGTGCACACACCATGTCTAATACAAAGGCGTTGTGGGCTCACGGAGGCTTCTGAGGGGACAGTGCAAGATCAGCTTAAGCCCATCTAGATACACCGTGCTACAGAAAGGAGCAGCTCTGCTCTCTCATCCACTGGAGCCACAATTCTGTTCTGTTCCTTTCCTTCTGCTAGCACTACTGCCTCTGGAGCCATATGGTCACAAGGATATCAGATAGCTCATCCAGAAAAAAACTTTTTTTTTTGCTTTTTGGTAGCATTGGTTTTCAGCTGCATTAGGCCCCTGAGCCTGCTGACTCTGCAGCCATGAACACACTCCAGCAGCACTGCAGAGGCAGGAGGAAAGGGGGCTATAGGAGTTGGTGGGAGTCCTCTTCCGTAACAGACACAGGCCAGCTTAAGGTGGATGTGAAACCACAGCTTCAGTATTTCTTTAACTTACGTGAGCATTCGCATCTGCTATTGACACAGACACTTTGAAGAAATCACGCTCACAGGTATCTGCAGGTTTGCGAAGGTATCAAGGCATCTCACTCCCACTGAAACAGCCTGAACGAAGCACCTCCCTCCTTTCTGCAAACTCTGGCCCTGTTTGCTCTATTCAGCCCACCTGCAAATATGGGATCACTCAGATTTATGGGCCACTCCTTGCAGCACACTTTTATGAGGCAGATTTAGCTCCTACAAAGTTCTGGGATAGGTAGAAGGAATGACTGAAGTGGAAGATATTTCATCACCATGCAATTTGCTATGACAGATAAGCTGGAGGTAACTGAAGTCAGTAGTCTTAAACTGGCTGCACACTTGTTTTCTCTCTTTCCCAAAATTACATTCTGAACACTCACATGCGCTCCTCCAGCAGCGGATGAAAGCACTTAGGGATATGCAAACACTCTTCTCTGTGAAGCATTTTGAGCTAGTTGTGGTGCACAAACCACTCACACACACGGGCAATTTTCCTTGGATGCCTGCTGGTCCCATGTTTGGAGGGGTTTGACATTAAAACAATTCTGTTCATTCAGAGAGATTTTCTGCTCTCTAGACAGGGACAGTTCAGGTAGGTTACAGTCACAGAACAAAAGCCAAATTTTCCAGAAAGAAGCCTTCTTGCACTTACTAATTAACTAAGTACTGCGCTCCTGAGTTGAAGCAAGGAGGGAGGAGACTGGAGAGAAGCTTTAGATAACTCCGACACTTTCAGACCAAGCTGTGGTCAATTAGTCCATCCTGTATTATTTTCATCTTTGTGAGGACTACTCTAAACCACACCTTGCTATCCAGCAGGATAACCACCCCGTTGCTGTTATTCTTATTCCAGCCAAACCCCCGATCTCTCATGTGAAAGGCTGGTAAGAGGGCCAACTGAAATTGCTTTTGCTAGCTTTGCATGACTATGAGAACTTTCCAGGTAACTGTCTTCAGCACTGTTGCTACTCCCTTGTGCTGTCAGCACAGACTGAAGGACTTACAGTGCTGAAGAGTCAAGCCCAGGATGTTTCCTTTAGCCCAGCCGACCCACTCTTGTTGTCGGGTAGCTTATCAGGTCTCAAGGCTGGGCATATACCCATCTCTCCCAACCTTTCTCCTACAAATGGGTGCAGCAGCCCCCGGATGAGTCCTCTTCTCCCATGTCATATCGTCCCATGTCCCACCTTTCTGCCTCTTCCCTGTCCCCATCACCTCCTCCCTCCCACATTGCCTGCTCTATTCCCAGCAGCACCCTAGCAATGCATCACTGTGTGGGATACATTTCACAGGACTCTCCAAAAAGTTAAGTAATTTTCAAATGGGGAAAGGTGTGGGCGGGAAACAGAATGTATCTTGTGGACAAGCAGAGATGGGACGTGGACCAAAAAAAATCCAAAAAGCAAAACTAAGGCAGAGAAGGAATGGCTCCTGTGAGGTCCTAGGACAGCTAGTCAGCAAGCTGCAAACTGAACTTAGTTTTTATCTAGGTTGCAGAATCCATTGCTAATGCTTAGATAATCTTTGAGTGGGAAGGCATCACTGAAGTTGATAAGGTTCAAGCCTGAATGCCTCAGTGCAGAGCAACGCAATGGTGCGCTTGCTTTGCAAAACTTTTCTGGCTCCAAAAACTGAACAAGCCAGCTTTGAGTTTCCTAAAGCCAATCTGGAAAAGAGAGAATTTCAAACTGCTTAGGACACCCTTACTGTAAAGAACAGGCCTGAACTACCTTTTGCTCTTGCAGACGCCATTGCAGTGAAATGAACAGTTGTGCCTAGGCAGACCAAATGCAAGCAAGAGCAGATGCACAGTTTTAGGGAGCCCACAGCACTTCTTCATTTTCACATGTTTCATGGCACAGAAACATCCCACCTACACTTGTAGCATAAGATGTAATCGTCACCCCAATCAGAGAGCCAACACATGGCCTATGCATCACTGAAGTCCCACAAAAGTCTAACGTTTTAAATTAAACCCTATTTCTTCACGAACAAAAACATCAGCAAATAAAGCCTTATTTATTTAATAAATAATAATAATAAATGTTTAATTCAAAGATTTGAGAGAAAAGCACTCCTTGGTAAACAGGTGGCATTGCTCCAGTCATTCTACTATGTCTGCAGATAGCATACAGCCAGCAAGCTCAGTAGTGGCTTTTTTAGCTAAGCTAGGGCAGAGTAATGTTTGCATTTACAAAACAAAATGCAGCAAACTTAAAAAAAAAAAAAAAAAAAAGCAGAACCTTTGCAGCTTTTCTAACTCTTAATAAAAAAGGTGAAGAAGAAAAAGGTAGGGCTGAGGGAGAGAAACAGCAACATTTGCTTCCTGTGTAGATCTCCTGAAATTCACTGAAGGCTGTTGCTAAGCCACTCGTTCCACTCCTCATGAAGAGTGGTCTCATGAGCAGGATAATGGCAGAAGTAACTGGGGAAAATATGGGCAGTTTTACCAACCCCAGAGAGGAGGAGCTCACGGAGGAAGAATTGGCTGCTCTTCCTCCTAAATCACAAAACTAACTTAAAAATCATGGGACCATGAGTAGTAAAAACTGAGCTCTATTTTTTCCACACGTTCTGACTTCTCAGTTTCCATTCAACAGTTTTCAATGTTTTTCATTTTCAGTATTTTTCAAGCACTTCAAACAGATTACTTTTCAACTACTTCTCCATAACTCTGAGCCTAGAAATTTTGTTTAAGTGAAGGCTGAGATTCTTACTTAATCACCTGATTCTAGGAGCTGGGACTACTTTTACAGGACATGAATTACTCTGAGATTAATGATGAGGAGATCAGACATTGCAACACAACACTGGTTTAAAAAAAAAAAAAAAAAAAAGAAATGGCAAGCCCATAACCATGTTGATAGGAGGCATATTTCCCGTAAAATCAAGACGGAACTTGCAACCTCTGTCAGTTCAGTGTTCAGGATTTTGCAATAGAACATACCTTTGGCACAGAGTCATGCATCACCTAAACAGAGAGATGCCAACACAGCTGAAGAGAAACCAGTACACGGATGAAGAAGACCTGGCAGAAGACCAGCTGGCTCATAGGATAACTTACTTAGAGTTGACTCTTGACTCACAGTTATTGAATCCTTTTCTGTTTTTAAACTTTATTGCAAGTTCATGTTTATCACACTAGCATGTTACTGCAATGACCTGCATTTTTAAGGCTACTGTACTTTTTGCAAGCAGAGAGCATAAACCTCACTGGTAGCGATGTTGGCATGAACCACAGGCAGAATGAGTTCTGCTAATAACACAGTATCAAACATAAAATATTGCTTGTGCCTAGATTTACTTTTCAAGACACAGCAGTTACACAGGGGACTGCTACCTTATTCCTCACTATTTCAGGTAGTAGTATGTGCACAGCTGATGCTTTGCACAGTAACCCGTTATCTATGTACCAAGAAGTTTACAAAAGGCAGTAGGGCTGATTCCATGCTTAAAGTTAAAGATGTGCCCAAGTGCCTGTGGGCCAGAGCCAGCAGGCTTGGCTCAGCCCTTCTGAGCTGAATACCTGAACAGAATTGATTTCACTCTTATCCACTAAAATCAATAGCCCTGCTTGCGAACTTTGGCCAAAATCAATGGAGTTCAGTCTTAGCCATCTAAATGCTTTTCAGGATCAGAGCTTACCTGGCACATTTCTACAAGGGAGGCTGGAAAAACTGCGCCTCGAGTTAGAGGGAATCAATCAAAGAGTGTGCCAAGATAAAAAGGGATGGATAAGGCACAGTATAGTCTGTTCTCACTTTTCTCAGACATAAATTTTAATTGACTTCACTTCATAGAGAGCAGGACACACTCTGCCTTAGGATATATGTAAGCCATTTAAAAAAAGTAAGTAGAAGCTTTGCTGTACGAATAAATCCTGTATTTCCTACCTGGGTATCAGCTATACAACAGCTATTATCTCACTGACTTCAGTGGGAGCTTTGCCCTAGCACTGTGGTATGCCTCAAATTTAAAAGCCTGAGCTTAGCATACAAGCCATGTCAGTGGGATAAATCCCAGTATGCAATAATAAAGACAAAGCTACATTTCTGACAGGATATGAGCTTTAGTTTGCACACAGATCAATTCTGCAGGC